CCACTTCGTCTCGAAAGTCATGAAGACTAGTCGGAAATATGCACCCGACGTGAGCGGACACCGTAACGAAGATTTGACTTTCCGACTCTGAGCAGGATCGGCGCTGCTTTGGTAGAGCCCATTGAATCTTTCCAGGAAACCTTAACGATGGGTGTTGGCGCAATACTATGCAGCAAACCGTCAAACTCGTATGTGATACGAGTTTGACCGGTGCGGTGCGTGATGCCGTCCAGTGTGTCAGCCCTACGCTCTGAGACGGGCACGAGTCATAGCGGTAGTCGTCCCCTGAACGCATCAACGTATCTCGCCATGCCGTTTGTGACTCTCGCTTGCTGATCGCTGACGGCCGGGGAGGCGGGTGAAGCGATGACGGGAAGTTTGTCAACACTTCAACCTATGAGAAAGGTTCGCAGAAAGGGTCCGACATCTGTTGTGTTAAGTCACGTTCGCTCTGATGCGACAAACAGAAAGCACTGTCTTTTTCCAGGGCTCTTCGTATGCAGGGCATTGGGGAACAATTAAGATGAGCACATCGGCCACGTTGTGATCAGGAGGAAACGTTGTAGACCGGCGTTTTGCGAGTGCGAGACCGGTTGGCTGCGGTGTTACAAAAAAGTCGATAAAACTCTCCACCAATGCGGTTGCTTTGTCCAACGTCGCTTGGTTCCAGCGGAAAGGTAAGCGTTTGTGATACATCGATTCAAGAGCTGTGTAGTTTGCGCCAGCCGAGAAATCCATCGAGTCACAGATCGAAGTGTGCTTCATGCACGTAACCTCAAATATGGAAACTCTAGTGCAATGAGCATGCAAATCGCCAAGTGCTCACTTGACCTGCACACCACTTGCTACCCATGTTCTCTTACTCCTGTCGGACCTCTTTTAACCTTGCAACCTGCACCCCTCACGCCATTGCGCCTTCCGTCGTGGCGGCGACCCGTTAAACGCTACGCAAGAAGGTCTAAAGCAACCATGCATGAGCTTCTCTGCATTCTGTACGACATACCACTCCTCCTGCGTTCGACCGGCGTGTGATTCCTTCCAGAGATGCATAACACACAGGGAGCAAATTCTTGACAATCTCGTAGGGTGAGTTTCTAAGTCAACATATCTGCGGGGTAATGGACCAACATGCCCCTCAATTGGATAATGTGTGTGTAAAAAGAGTCGAATGGCCGACAGCAGAGCCTTACCCACAGGCGGACGGTCGCCCAGGATGAGAACGAAGTGAAGGACTGACTCGGCATCGTAAGTTGTTTATCTGCAAGGGGTCCACGAATGATAGGGTTGGAGGAGGGTATATGTGAGCTAGGTGCCACGGCTAGGCAGAGAAGCACGCGAGAAACGAGGATTAGGTTCCAGGTATATGATGTTCCCACCCTCGTGATCCCACGTGGGAAGCCGAATATTCCGTCTCAACCGGCTGCTGGGTTTCAACGCACAGGTGAGGAACAAGTGCAGCACATCATGGATTTCCCCTTTAGTCTAGCTGCATGTTCTGTCTAGGGATTGTTCATGAGAAAAGGCATATCACAAGGATAATACGGCAACCTTCCAAATAGCGAACTCGGAATCTCCCTGCGCCGTCGTACAACTGGCGTATTCTTCCACGATCGCCAATTAGATTGCTTCGTATCGTACAGGGCACATGTCGACCCTGAGTGAATGATCACTTGACTCTCATTGAAGACTGTGTCTAAGTCAACCGGACCCAATCACATAGCGAACTATCCTTATAAGACTGTAGAAGATTCTTTGAGGAGAGGGCTGGCTCCTATGTACTGCTGTTGGACCCCTCAGAAACACGAGACGAATTAAGGCACCATACCGGACGCCTCATACCGATCACAAGAGAAATGGCCTAATAGCAAACTTGAACGAGGCGACCTATTCATGATTCAAGTGTCCGACCTTTGTTGAATTCCTAACAGTGTCAGAGTCCCAAAACTGTCCCAAAACCTCAGACTCGTTTCGTTCATCTGTCATCGGGCGCAGATGCGCTTTTTTCAATTTCTGCATGAAAGCATTTCACAAATGCTAGATCCGACGTCACCCGTTCGTTGTAACAGAGAATATCTAACTTGCTCGTTCATATAGCATCACTGGCATTGCACGTGATAATTCAGCTTTCGTCGTCTCAACTCGCTTGCCAAAAAAGTGGGTGATCATCCTCCGCGGGGTAATCGCGTGGCAGCATCAACTCAAATCTGTTATAACATCAGGGCAAAGGTGACGTTTTTCAGAGTCTACTTTGCTTCCACTGAGACACCCCTATTCAAACAACCAAATCAAAATGGTCCACGCATCGGTGAGGTTTCACCTGGGGCGAAGTTGTGGAGAAGGAGGGGTTGGTGGCTATTCGGGCAGGTGTGCCTGACTCGTCAACATGATTGACGCCAGGCGCCTTCCTCTTGACGTATGGCGCTTATGCTCGTCACCTTCAGCCTCCATTTTTATCGTGTCTTCACGCCTTTGTCACCGACCTGGAGATCCTTACCAGGACGAAGCGTTATGACCCTGTCACCACTTTCAAAGGCAGTCGAGGACGACGATAAGTACATTGAGGGGCTCAGTACTGAGTCTGCTCTTAAATCCGGCGACAAGCCCGAAGACACGCTAAATATTCATCGCGGGGCTATTCGGGTGCCTTCCCCAGATCCGTCGCTCATTTCAATAGACGACTCGAACAATATACGGCTTGGTCGCAACCCAGACTATGTGCCCACTCACCGTGGCCGTGGGTGTGCTTCCCGTTCACCTACTCGTTCGCGGACACTGAGAAGCAGATTGAAGCTCTTTTGGATCACAAACAAAGGCCTGGCCCTCGTGCTTATATCACAGCTGTTTGGCACATTGATGAATGTTACCACCAGAATGTTGGAAATGGAAGGGAATGATGGTAAGTACCTAGTACACTCTACTGATTGAACTCAAGCTAAAGCATAATTCAGGCAAAGGATACCACCCATTCCAAATTCTCTTCGCAAGAATGGGTATAACCGTACTCTGCTCATCAGCATATATGTGGCACAGGAAGACAGAGCACTTTCCGTTCGGCATGAGGGAGGTGCGTTCTCTTCTCGTTGCTCGAGGCCTATTCGGCTTTTTTGGGGTTTTTGGCATGTACTGTAAGTCCTCCTCCACCACTCGTGGGAGCCACATGCAACGTAACTTGTTCAAGCTCTTCCGACGCTGAGCCGCTGGCTATCTTGACAGTAGGTATTGGCTAGTTTTGCCTACTGGAATCCGCTGTAGTTCCCATGAGTCCAACCAAGGGGTTGCCAGACTGACTTTTTGCAGACTCCCTGCTATACCTTCCACTTGCCGACGCTACTGTTATTACCTTTTTGGCCCCGAGTCTCGCATGCTGGGCTTGTAGCTACTTGATCCACGAACCGTTTACGCGAATGGAACAAATCGCTGCATACGTATCTCTCTTTGGGGTCGTCTTGATCGCAAGGCCTATCTCGCTATTTGCTTCGCTCTCGCACTCTGCTGAGCCCGTGCCTCCTGCGAGTGGTGACTCAGATTTTGTGCCTTCAATAAATGGAACAAGTTCCTCACCCGATCGCCTCGCTGCAGACTACGATTCCGTTACACCTACTCAGCGAGCAACGGCAGTAGGACTGGCGATGCTGGGTGTAATAGGAGCAGCAGGGGCTTATACGACCATTAGGTGGATCGGAAAGCGAGCACATCCGTTGATTTCGGTCAACTACTTTGCAACATGGTGTACCATCGTTAGCATTGTAGCTATGTTTGCCATGCCTGGTGTTGGTTTCCTGCTTCCTCGATACTTGAAGGATTGGTGCTATTTGATTTTTCTGGGCATTTGCGGCTTCGTAATGGTGAGCCATGTTCAATCTCATGTGTACTAGATGCTAACACACCGCAGCAATTCCTTCTTGCGGCAGGACTGCAATATGAAAAATCGTCGCGCGCGACTAACATGGTGTACATGCAAATGCTCTTTGCACTTGCGTTTGACAAGTTGGTGTGGGGTACCACACCAGGTGCGTTGTCTATCATAGGTTCGTCACTGATCTTGGGGTCGGCCATTTACGTTGCAATGAACAAGGAGCCCTCAGGTCAAAAAGCTGAGGCACGAGAGAGTGGAGACGGGGAAGAGGGACGAGGTCTGATTTTTGCAGCTGATGAAGCACGACGAGATGATACTAGCGATATACTAATGAGGCCGTTGAGATAGTGAACATCCTGAACCTCAAGAGTGGGTGTTCTGAGGGAAGCATCAAGCAAATTCTGTTCGCTGGGTATGAATAGATTATAGTAAGATTGTGTAATTGTTCAGATAACGGTATCGCCACATTCTTGAGCCCTTGTGGTCTTTCTCCTGTACGGTGAACGCATGTTCGCGTGTGCAGCATACCCAGGAGCTCGTACTTCCTTACAGAGGAGCTCTTGTCTTCTGAGTCTTAGGCTCCTTTCCTGAACAACTGCAACTGTATACCGCAATACAACGCGATAAGTAAAGCTAACTTGAGGTATCTATACATATTATTTTCTAGGCTATACCCTACACTCTCGCACTCAGAAGAACCCAGTACTCTGACGATACGAGCTCCTTCGATGGCTCCTCTCCTCCGGGCTTCCACATTAACATTACTATCTCATTCTTCTTTGAGCACACTGTATCTACATTCCTACCCGTGCGAGATAGTCAAGACACGCTGCTTACGAGTTCTTCGTACATTGAAGGCGTAGCCCTAACAAAATCAACCCTTTCCATAGTTATTGACTTCCCTATGTTTTGCGGCTCACAGTACATTCGTCCCGAGTAATCGGTGGTAGTAGAGTTTTCACTAGTGCTTACGACATACCCCACTTTGCCTCGGCACAGGGAGGGCAAAATCGGCCCCCTGACAACCCATACCATTCTCGCGGGGTTGCTTTAACGAATTTTCTAGCAACGCGCCTAGTATATATATTAATTATATTTTCAAAAAGCCATTCAAGTCAACTGCCACGGCGCATCCAGCGTCAAATCCTCCGTGGCGCAATTGGCTAGCGCGTTCGACTGTTAATGCCACCTATTTATTAGCAAATCGAGAGGTTGAAAGTTCGAGCCTTTCCGGGGGAGCTCTTTTTTTGCATATTTCTACCACCTCCACAATGGTCGGCGACCGCGACACTCGAGTCACGATGGCCCACCCTTGGGCCAATTTTGTCCACGGAGCACCAAAGGAAGCGTCTCCGAACAGCGCCTCATGCATAATAAGCGTGCCGACGGAATCGACTCCGTTCTTTGTCTTTGACGTAGGGGTTCTTCAGCCTCTTCAGGTTCAGCTCTTGTCGCGAGCGCTTGAGTTCTTTTGTCACGAAAGAGATGCCTGCCCTCACCAGTCTCCCTAACGAGCTTCTTCATTACATCTTTGTCTACACACAAACCAGCGAGACTGCTACCGCGACAGATAATGGCCAGAATGACGAGTTGAACAATACAGCACTCCTTCAGCTGTGTCGCAGTTGTCGCACACTTCGAGACGTAGCTCAGAACATCTTGTACCGGACCGTGAGTCCAAGGCTGGACAGAGAAGGTTCTTTGCTACCTCTATGGCGTCTCACAGAAACCATCTTGACTCGGCCAAGTCTGGCGGGCAAGGTTAGGTCCCTATCATTACAACTGAACCCACAAGCATCCATCGAACTCTCGGTCGTAGAAGCCAAGCTGTTCTCAAAAGCCCGCCACTCACTCACCGCGCCACGGACGCTCCAGGAAGCAGCTCGAAGAATATGGGCCTATGAGATCGTTCATGCTCTCCTTTCAAATCTGCCAAGCATTGAAACACTACATATAAACATCGTTGGCTACGACGCAAGGGCTTGCCAAGGCCGCGGGTCATCAAAGTTGCTCGATCACTTGCGTGCTCTGACCTTGGTTGCAGCTGCTGAACGACCCATCCACCAGGCGCCAGCCAGTTTGAGAAGCCTTGAGATCACACATCAGAAAGCGGAAGCTTACGTTCCCTTGATGCTGATAGGGGAAGTCGAACTTGCCTCATTATTGTCATCTCTCGAATCCGTATGCCTTAGGAGACGTCAAACTGTCTCTCCTCCTGGAACATCAGTTCCCCCGCCATCCATAGTAACAAATCTCACGAACCTCGAACTGAGAGAGTGTTGTGTCAATCTGTCAAGTCTTCGATATCACATCGAAATTGCTTGTAATCTTAAGAGATTTACTTATGTCACGCTGGATCCGCTGACTCTCCATCGTGGACTACTGCTTGGCCGCCCAGAACATGATCCTGGTCCACTTGTGCGTCAGCCAACACCAATGGAAGTACTAGATCTTCTCTGCTGCCGGAGAAACACACTTGAATATCTAGAGCTCGACTTTTACGACTGGTTTCAAACTGGACACGAAGCGCTGTGGGGCCACGACGAAACGGATCCGAAGCAGCGATACCCCTCCTTTAGACATTTCAAGAAACTTCAAGTCCTGAATATCGAGCATGACCGAATTGGTTCGCCGCAAGAACTACCTGGAACCCTGGTAGCACTAACCTTCACCCACAGGCCCAGTAAACCATGCCTAATGGATGATCCATTGCATTACCCTAGGATTGAATGCAGCTACAGAAAACTTATCTTGGCAGGTATCTGCCCGAAATTGCGCTACGTCAAGGTCGGGCGCTTCTATCCTTTCCGCTACGTGGGCGCTCGAGTGTTCGAGTGGCGATTCATAAGCAAGCCAAAGTGGGATGAATTTGTTTCTGACGCGACCGAATTCGATGACCCGGGCTACGTATTTCAAGAGGCAGGGCTTAGCGAAGTAAAGGGCAAGAGAAAAGCAGATACTTGGTGGGATCCATGGTGGCAGACTTGGTTTACAGAGGAATGGCCCAAGGAGCTGAAGCAGGAACTTTTGAGATGTCTCTATGCAGAAGCCGCTCGTTTAGCTTTGTGATTAGATTTACAGAAATACTGATAATCTCTTCACTACTATGTCATATCATCATATGGACATGCCAGATGCCCTGCACGGTACTAGGAAAGGGCTCTGGTGCAAGAATACTTCATGAACTCTGAGCACGCAGAAGTGCGTTACCCGCAGCAATTTTTAAGCTGTAGACCGAATACATGGAATGCTAGGTAAGCTCGGCAGCTTCACGTGGCTACATGTTACTACTCTATCCTCGTAGCTGCAATAAGTCCCAGTGAGGCTTCGTCCACGCTTCGAGTTGTAAATACTTGTTTTGATACAACATGTCGCTCTTTCGAGTTCAACCGCTTTACAGCGCGTATCTAGACTCACGATTCTCCAGGTCCGTAAGATCCAAGAACTCGTGGTTCTCCTCCACCTTCCATGCTGCACCTCTGGCATTCTTCTCGTCGACCCTCAACCGATTCCTCCTCACGAACAACAGCCGCATCAGCACAAGATCACATGTGATCAGGAAGTATAGTATCACAATCGAGATCTTCGCTGGTAGATAGCGTGGTACATCCCTCGCCTGGAACGTTTGTGGACTGATAATGTTTCCGATAGTGTACGCAATGGTACCAATGACAGACACAGTCACTTTCTTCGTCGAACCAGCGACATTGGACGCTCGGAGTCCAAGGATCGTGGTCCAGCCGATAGGTATACCGCCGGAAAGGTAATAACCGACCAGGGCGGGGACTTTATTCGTCGTAGCCATCAGTATTGCGCCGATTATGGCGGGTATGTGCACAGCTATGCAAGCGTAGAGCCTCTGTTCTGTCTTCATGGCGATCCAAGTCCCACCGACCAGAGCTACGATCTCGTATGCGCCCAGCGGTGTTACGAGCAGAAGTGATTCTTTTGACGTATAGCCCATTCCTTTTACAAGGATGTTTCCAAAACTCGTCGCAATGGAATTCGGAATGTTCGCAGCAAATATCCAGAAAGCATATAGCCAAGTCATCGGATCTGTGAGGGCTTCACGGAATTGGTCCCACTTGAACGTCCGGTTACCTATACCTTGCTCCTTTCCACGGATGCGCTCTATATGCAGGGTCTTCTCTTCTGCCGTCAGAAAACCTGCGAATTCAGGCGAGTCAGGCATGATGAACCAGAAGCTGATACCAATCAAGGCCGTAAGAAGTCCCAGAAACAAGAAGATGATCTGCCACCCTCGAAGTGCTGCAGTGGGATCACTTCCGACATGATTCGCAACACCATATGCGAAATAACCCCCGAACATCTGCGCGGCGCCACATACACTGAACCATATACCGACGCGAAAGGATTGTTCGTTTCGTGATACCACTGCGAAGTGAAGACGACCCACGCTGGAACGATTGCTGCTTCTGCGGCACCCAGGAGAAATCGACACGCGAGTAAGGAGGAATATGACTTGCAAGCTGCGAGCGAGGCGAGAATGGCACCCCAGATGGTGACGTTAACGGCGACGTACTTGGCGAGCGGAAAGAGCTGTATGAGACGGATAGTTGGGAACTCAAAGGCAAGTTGGCTACACAACGCGTTAAATTTCGTCAATCATTGGGGAAATAGATACGTACCCAAAGAAGAAGATTGAAGCCACCCAGTTGAACTGATTACCATGTAGATTAGTGTCTTGGATGATACCCGTAACACTCGCATACGAGATCGAAGTCTTATCAATGTATTGAAGGAAGTAAACGATGCATATAAGCGGCATGATGTGTAAGTCAATCTTCCGTAGTAGCCGTTTATTTGTTCCTGCATCTACAGGTCGACGAACACCTCCTGTTTCTTTGAGTAGATGGAGAGCTGCATCCGCACCGGCCTTGAGGCTGACTTGTTGATATCTGCACTTCCTTGCTTTCGTCCAAAGGGCCTCCGTCGCGAACTTGCTGTGATGGCGTTTTTGAGGTATCGGCCATCGTGGGGGTTGGCGTGTAGGAACTTAGAAGAAGCGGCGGTCGAGCGGGAGTAAAAAATAAACGTCTATATATTCAAGTTCCTTTTATATATATAGAAGAAGGCAGCTCTGGGCACAGGCCTATCAGTGGTGTCATTTCCAGCATTTCGTGCTGGACCACCAAGACCCCACACTTGACCTTCAACAGCAGTCGTATGCGAAAGATCCGCCATATGTCCCCACACTTCTGTGCATGGCTTTGCGTGGTGTAATTCAACACGAGCACCATGCAGAGTTTAGCATGGTGGTCCATTCAAGGTGTTGTCGATTCGGGAGCACGTCATGTAATGTCAGTCTTCGGTTATCACACGTTACTGTAATTAGCTTAGGATAGCATGTTGAAAGAATCACAACTGCTCCGGACTTTGGAGCATCCCGTCGGGCATGATGCGCGGGCTGGTATCACACTAATAAGCGGATGGTGGATCGTGAGGCGCTCCCTGGTCGCCTTGATGGACTCGAGAAGTCTAGTCAACAAGTACATCAGACGGCGAATGAAAGCTCTGGGACTAGGTAATCGAAGGAATTCACATCCTTGATACAATAACCTGTAAACTGGAGCTTCACAGTGGATGTACGAACGCAATGAGACCCGAGTAGCCATATATAGTGGGCAGCCAGGTCAATTAAACGCTCACGAGGTTGGTCTTGGAACATTCTTAGAGGGCTTATAACGAAGTTGGATCGATTCGAATAAGCGTGACAAATTGGTTCCTGGGCAACTGATGGAGGGAGAAGCTTCGTGTTTCTACCATCTACGAAGAGTGAAAAAGGAATGTAGTGAGGATTCGCATGGATACCTGGCTTCCACGCGTTTTGGTACGCTGACATGAGCCAGTAGAGTTTGTACGTTGAACGCAAACACTGAATTACCCATGTATTTGGAAAATATATCAATCAAAGGGCCGTCTAGCCCTGAAGGCTTAGAAAGCTGGTATGTTGTGAGACTTGCAATTTGTCTCGGGGATGAAGAGAACGAGGAAGCCATTCGGACAGAGAATTTCGCGAGGATCGCGCTGGCACGTGTCCCGCTAGCACTCATTCATAATCCCTGCAAAGCCCCTAACCCCCTTCGAACGACCCAGATATCACCACCAACCAGCCTACATCAACCTTGAACTCCTCTAAAGCCGGACAATGGATTTCTTTATCTTCCAAATAATGGACGGATTTCGACCATGACATCTATCAACCTTGGATAGATCAT